GTTAGGGTTAGAGGTTAGGGTTAGAGGTTAGGGTTAGGGTTAGAGGTTAGGGTTAGAGGTTAGGGTTAGAGGTTAGGGTTAGAGGTTAGGGTTAGAGGTTAGGGTTAGAGGTTAGGGTTAGAGGTTAGGGTTAGAGGTTAGGGTTAGAGGTTAGGGTAGAGGTTAGGGTTAGGTTAGGGTTAGAGGTTAGGGTTAGAGGTTAGGGTTAGAGGTTAGGGTAGAGGTTAGAGGTTAGGGTTAGAGGTTAGGGTTAGAGGTTAGGGTTAGAGGTTAGGGTTAGAGGTTAGGGTTAGAGGTTAGGGTTAGAGGTTAGGGTTAGAGGTTAAGGTTAGAGGTTAGGGTTAGAGCTTAAGGTTGGAGCATCATCATCATCATCATCATCATCATCATCATCATCATCATCATCATCATCATCATCATCATCATCATCATCATCATCATCATCATCCATCATCATCAGCATCATGATGATCATCATCATCATGCTCACCATCATCACCACCATCATCATCATCATCATCATTTTCATCATCATCATCATCATCATCATCCATCATCATCATCGTCATCATCATCATCATCATCATCAATCATCATCATCATCGTCATCCTCATCATCATCGGCATCATCATCACAATCATCATCTTCAGCATCATCATCCATCATCATCCATCATCATCATCGGTCATCATCGGTCATCATCATCATCATCATTATCATCATCATCATCATCATCATCATCATCATCATCATCATCATCATCATCGTCATCATCATCCATCACCATCATCATCCTCATCATCGTCATCATCATCACCATCATCATCATAATCATCAGCATCATCATCACCACCATCATCAACATCGTCATCAGCACCATCATCATCATCTTCGTGCATCATCATCATCATCATTATCATCATCATCATCCATCATCATCATCATCATAATCATCATCATCATCATCCATCATCATCAGCATCATGATGATCATCATCATCATGATCACCATCACCACAATCATCATCATCATCGGCATCATCATCAGCATCATCATCATCATCATCATCATTATCATCAGCACCATCATCATCATCATAATCATCGTCATCATCATCATCGTCATCATCATCATCATCATCATCATTCATCATCAACATCATCACCACCACCATCATCATCATCACCATCATCAGCATCATCATCATCATCATCATCATCATCATTCATCATCATCATCATCATCATCATCATCATCATCATCATCATCATCATCATCATCATCATCATCATCATCATCATCATCATCATCATCATCATCATCCATCATCATCATCATCATCATCATCATTATCAATCATCATCATTATCGACTTCGTCATCATCAGGGTTAGAGGTTAGGGTTAGAGGTTAGGGTTAGAGGTTAGGGTTAGAGGTTATGGTTAGAGGTTAGGGTTAGAGGTTAGGGTTAGAGGTTAGAGTTAGAGGTTAGGGTTAGAGGTTAGGGTTAGAGGTTAGGGTTAGAGGTTAGGGTTAGAGGTTAGGGTTAGAGGTTAGGGTTAGAGGTTAGGGTTAGAGGTTAGGGTTAGAGGTTAGGGCTAGAGGTTAGGGTTAGAGGTTAGGGTTAGAGGTTAGAGTTAGAGGTTAGGGTTAGAGGTTAGGGTTAGAGGTTAGGGTTAGAGGTTAGGGTTAGAGGTTAGGGTTAGAGGTTGGTTAGGGTTAGAGGTTAGGGTTAGAGGTTAGGGCTAGAGGTTAGGGTTAGAGGTTAGGGTTAGAGGTTAGAGTTAGAGGTTAGAGTTAGAGGTTAGGCGTGTCAAAAATCCGCCGCGGGACCCCCCCTCCCCCCCTCAGACTCCCCTAACCACCACTTAGAACACGCCTCGCCCCTTTGCAGAGACTAACTTGGCTTTTGTAAAGGGGTCGGCGGATTTTCATCCTGGGTCCCTAGTACAGCAGATAGATCATGTTTGATTTCTCATTTCGCCAGAACGCCTGGCTTATCCACCCCACACAAGGTTAGCAGGTATTGTGCGGATGGGCGATGGGCGAAGACCAATCAATACTGGTGGATAAACCACCAATCCTACATGCAAGTCATCAGCATGACTTGACCAAGAAGAAGAGAGGGTCTTGCTTTTGGCTTACTCAACTCCTGGCTACTCACTCCTGGACGCTCGGTGTGAAGCTGACGTCCTCAAGCAAGCGCCCATCATACCAAAGTTGAGTTCCCTTTGAAGTGACAACAGTGTTATAGGCAACAGGAACAACCTCAAACAAGTTGGGGCCACCTGTTGTGATTCCGAGGGAACTTTTCATTAAACAGGGACGTCACGGGGATGGTACAGGGACATGGGTTTGTCTTTAAAAAGAACAGGTTTGTTTCTGTTTGGTTTCCCGAACCAGCCGGAAAAGAGACCGCCACAGTTGTGTTGGACCCCCAACACGGTTGTTATTTTGGTTTCGCTTCAGGCCCTGCAACACATACACCCAAACATGGCACCTGACAAAAGGTCCCTCCAAGACATTTTTCGAAGTTCCAGGACATACACTCAAGCCTGGCACCTGACAGGGGGTCCCTTCCAGGTACCCCTGCTGCCACGTCGGAAGGAAGGGCAACCATAGCTGGGTCCTCCAGTAGAGAGGTTAGAATAAGGGTACCCTTTTTCTCTGTAGTCTATTCTAGTACGGGCTTTCTCTCCCCAAACAAAAGGGGTGAGAAAGGGCACTACCGGGGGACCTGGATAGGCCTAGAGGCTCAAAGGTTGGGCACGCCAGACGCATCCGCCAGGCGGAGCGTGCGGAGATGGCACAGCTCTTGGGCCGTTGCGACCGGCCGGCTGTGAAGGCCACAGATTTCGATGACTTCCCATGGGATCGATCCGCGGTGACTGCCGGGTTTGTGTTTTTTCCTTTGAGGCTACGGTGGATGCCCTAACGAGTGAAACAATCTAAAACAAACCCGGTTGTATGAAAGAAACAAGCGGTTTATCTTTGTTTATTTCTTTGTGGAACATAGCCGATTTACGGTGGATGCCCTAAATATTGTAAGGGGAACATCTATAAACCGATTGTTTTTTGTCTGTGATTTACCAAGGTTTCGTGGTGGAATATGGTTGGTGTACTTGCAAGATTTGGGGTGTGCCCTGTTTATGCGTTCATGGTGTGTTGAAAAAGACACCTCAAGGAACAATCTGTTTTGGGCTTTCCCGAATTTGACATTTTCAATAGGGAACGACCTGAGGAATCTTTGGTGGACATCATGAATCCTCCTCAAACTCATGTCCAAAGGGTCGATTGAACTTCATGCCCAGAGGTGTGGCAAAATAGGGGGGAACCGAAAACTGGGCGGTCTTTCCTTTTTCCTTGATAATTTAAGACCTCCCCAAGGGTACCGAGCCAAGATGAAGCCATCTCACGTCCCGAGTCGGACAGATCCTTGCAGTCAACCAGCGAGTTTCAATCGGACTCGGCCTTACACTCCGTCTCGTTTCTTGTTTGCCGAAAGGAAACCATGGGAGGATTGGCAACTTTTTCCAGCCGCCCTGTTTGACACCCGATGTTGTTTGTCAGCTGCATGGTTTTGTTGCGAGGAATTGCTTCCTTTTTCTCGGTCGGTTTGAAGGGAAGCAACAAACGCAACCTGGCGCATTTGTTGGGGTAGCTGGTGACAAGAAGTGTTTGCGTGTACCATCGCCAAAGCACCCTTGGGACAGCCACGCCCCCCTTAGTAAGGAGTTTTTACAGCTGTTGCAAAGGGTCCAAGGGTTCCTAGTAAGGGAACCATGGTCATTCATATGTTGCTTCATGTGCTTTTTCCTTTTTTGTCACCGGGGACACTTTGTTGGTTCGGTAGATGTGAAGGCTGTGGAGAAGGACCCCTTGCTAGGTCTTAATTGGAACCCAAGGCGGTCCCCCTTGGTTCCTTCAACTATTTGATTTAAGTGCATTCCATGTTGACCTGCAGATCGCTGTGGAGAGGCTAGAACTCGCAGCTTCAGTAAAACGCAGTTCTGTCGCATTGTTGCATGAAGCCTCTGTCTGCAGAACCTGAAATAGGGACCACTGTACATTAGGTAGCTGTATATTTTTGAGCCAAGGAGGTATGGCCTGCATGACAATATCTTGTGCAGATAAACATGGAATGCAAAAGGTGGGCCCGAAAATCTGGATATCTTCTCCTAGTTATTTGGGTTCCATGTTCATTCGCAGGAGTGTAACTTTGGATTCTGCGCTTTCAGCTCTAACTGCCGTCAGCTTCGAGAGTGCCTGAGCATGATCCTTTTGCTCCAGCCGGCTGTCTGCGCACGCAGGGGGTTTTGAGCAACTCTGTAGACCCATGCTGTGCCCCGATTAGATCGTTGGCAGCGCAATAAACCATGTTGCTGATTGGCCGGTTGTCTCACCGCTACCACGGCGCACATTGATTTCCTGACGGTAATTTTGCAACACTCGTTTCCAACAGTAAGAGGGTTTCATGTTGCGCTTTGGCAATCTTGCGCCATGTTGCATCGCTTGGTACAATGCGAGGTCAGCACAATAGGCCGCTGGGCCGCTGGTATCCCCTTAGCTGGACCGCCCCCGCACCAGAGCAGCTTCTCACACACATGATAGGCAGAGCCACACCAAAAAGCAACGTCAACACTTCAGTGCCACGCATGGGTAAACTTCTCCATGCCCCATTTGTAAATGTTCTCAGTTTGTCCGGCCGCTTGCCAAAACATGTAAGTCAGCATGATACTGAGCACTCGTTGTTGCGCGTTTCTCAATGCAGAGCACACAACAAATGCTGATGTGTGGCCTTAGGCCTGTCGGAGCCCATCTCCGCACCCAATCGCAGGAACCCACGATGACGGAAATGTACACCTGTGACCAAGGGCTCAACTACCTACCCCTGGCTACAGAGACACAGGCCTACAGAATATGAAAGGCTGCATAGAGAGGACATGGGTGCATGCACAGCGCTGGGGGAACAACTACTAGGGAATCAACCCAGCCGTTGGGCCCGTAGAGAGCATTTTTCAGCCATGAGCGGGTCGTCCTCATCTTCGTCATCCTCGTCCTCATCCGAGTCCAACCAGGACGAGGCGGGATTACACGTTGGTTGATGCATGCGACGTGACTCCGTGGGTCTTTGAAGTGCGTGCACGGTGGAGTTCCGGGAATCCTGGGTGAGTGGGGCATGTATGCCAGGATGACTATGAGTGCCAGCATCGAGCCGATTTGGGAAATTAACCATAATGGACCACCCAACTACTGTGCGATGACACATCAGGGGCGTTGTGTGTGTGTGTGTGTGCTGTATGGAGCCTAGGCATTGGCCCGTGACTGTGCTGGTGTTTGTTTATCAGTGCGCAGCATGGCCATGTCTTGCATTTGAGCCTGATTTCCTCCAAATCGTAGAAGGCAACAATTCGGGGGACACTCCCAACCAGAAATAGATAGCAGCACCCCGCTCTTCTAATTCTTTGCCAGGTGTTGGGTAGACCCTCTCACGCCAGGTCGATTTTGACTCGTTCGTGTGTACATGCGGGATCTTCTTCGTGTAGTTTGGATAGAAGTCCCTTCGAGCGCATGGGCATTGCGCCGGGAAGAACATTGCCAGCCACGCCACGACAACTATGGGTATGGGTTTACGTGGGGATTGCTCAAGGCAAATTGGCAACGGTTTCGCTTTGATCAAATTTAAATGGCTCATGCTCAGCAGGGAATGAGGGAATGACCCCTATAAACAATCCCTTGTGGTTTCCTCTCTAGGAATCCCTAGGTTCATTCCCAACACCCGTCATTCCCTACCTATCGCACCAGCAAGTTAAGTGGCTGGTCTCAGAGTTGGCTTGTGGGTAAGATAGCTGTGAAGTCCACTCGATTTGCCGCAATCCTTCTTCTCCTTGCAAACCAGTTTCAGCGTTGCCGTGTTGCAACGATTCTCTCCATGTATATTTCATGAGCTTACCGTTCGCGAAGGCCAGGAGGTTGAGGCCCATGATCATGCTTTTGCTTGGAATTCCTTCTGTCCGGCTTGTGAACTATACGCTCCCTTGAATCATGCAAGCCGACAATAAAAAAGCAAAAACGTGGCTTTCCTTTTGGGGAAGCCCCTGATCATTTACTGACATTGCTGGAAAGAGGGTACTGGTGCGGAGGGTGGGCAAGATCGTCGTTGAAAGAAACAAATGCTTCCCAAATGGGATTTTTTGTTTTTTTTGGGGGTCCATATCCCATTTGGGAAGAGGGTAGTCAAGTTGCGTTGTTTGGCAACCGCATTGCTCCAATGGACAGAGTTTAGTCAAAGCAAGGTATCATATTTGGATTGTGTCCCCAAGAGGTCGTCTTCGACACTTCAAGACGCTGCCAGGGAACCCGTCATGACCTAGAGGTACAAACCATGGTTGCCTACTACAGCTCTCAAAGAAAACACTGCAAAAGCACCAACCTGTTTGGAATATCCCTGCTTGGCCCGTACAGGTGATTCCTGGAGGCATCCCAACCCTGTCACCAAGAACGAGCCCTTTTGTGCCCAACCGACAAGGACGAGTGTTGCTGAAAGCCATGTAAAACTCTGGAGGTACAAGACCAATCAAAAGCATGGCTTCCATTTGCTTAAGAATATTGTGAATTTTCCCTTGTTGCTTTTAAACGGAATCAATCGCTACTTGTTTTTTCCGCGAGACTGAAGCACATGGAAGATGGTGTTCTACTGTGGTGATAACTGGAACTGTCCGGCCCAGATCTTTCCAAGTCTGTGGTACTGCGTTTCTGTCAAGCTGAGGCGGCGTCTGACCCTGAGTCCGAGGACTGCGTTGGATGCGTGAGTCGCACTCGCAGACTTGACCAGGTTCCTCTTTGATTCGTTTCCCTTTGGTCTGGATTCAAAGTCGGGCGCCTTGGTGGTCGCCTGTGTCAAGTTGCAAGTGTCTATGATCACTCCTGAGTAATCACCTGCCACGTGGCTTTCTGTACAGCCACTGTATGCGTCGAGCCAAGCTTTTGCAACCCTTAGACACTGGAATCCCCTTGCTAGTTTGAGCCATGTTTGAGAACGATGGTCACAAGGTGCGGTGCAAAGCTCTTGGATTAGGGACAGCCAAGGGCTTGCTCTGATGGACTCTGTAATTGATGTCATCCCAAAGCCCGAAACAGCCCGAAACAAGTCTGGGATTAAACTGCTGCGTTGATTTCGGTGATGATGCGAGCTCCGAACAAGGGTAAGCAACGGGCTAGTTTCGGCCGCACGGGGGCACCCTCTCCAATCCTGGGAATTGGAGTTGGGGGCAGTTTGGGGGTCTTTTCTCCCGGGCGAAGAAACAAGTATACCCCGAACCTTGCCAATCTGGGGTATGCTCAAATCAGAGCCGAATTCCCACGAAGCATGAAGCCTGATTTGAGCATACCCCAACCCCGCCATTCCGCCAAAACACACATTCCGCACGAAAGCAGGGGGACCTAGTGAGGGGACGGCTTGGGCTTGGGAGGCCAACCGCACTGCCACAGTTTCCCACAAAGGGTGCTCTTTCGGTGGTGGAAAAGCTTTCACTGCACTCTACAAAAGCTGATCCGAGTTTCCATCATGTACAGAACCATGCTGGCCCGTAGTGAGGGATCAAATCAGACGCTAAACAGTTCTTTGAAAGCTCTCCTTGTTCAGTTTGCGTTGGCCCCTATGGCAGGCCCAAGTGAGAGTTCACTCACCATGGCAAAAACTTGCGGGATGCAAATTGGAGTAGGCTGAAACCTCGAAAACAGTGCCAAAAACGGGTCGGGGTATGGTGAAAAGGTATGTTGCAGGTTTCTTAGATACTGGGCTAGGCTTTGAGTGTCGAGACTTTGCAATACATTTGATATATTTATGTTGACCGAGTATGTATATCTGATGTTTGTCGATTTCGCGGCGAGTAAATGTTGGACTTCATACCTGGCAGTTTGATGGCGATTGCCCTCAGTTTCCTTTAAACACATGCTACACATATCGCCTGCTCTTTGTTTGGCTGTTGTTTGTATGATTCAATCCATGGGGCTTCCAGATCTGTCGCGTTGGTGTGTGTGTGTGTGTGTGTGTGTTTGTTGAAAATATCCGCTGGCAACATCTACAGGGCAGGCGAGCAGCATGCATTTGCAGGCAGGATGTGTCATGGATGGGGCGACTATGATCAAAAATGCTTGCTATTCTACTGATCGTCGTAATTCGGGAATGGATCGAACATATTTGCAGGTTCAGCACAGTGTGTTTGCTTGCTGACTAGTTTTGCTTTGCTTACCTTCTCAGTTGATAATTTCTGCTAAACATATGAACATGTATGGGTGTATGTGTGTCAACATAAAGTGACCCCAAAACTGGTGGTTGTGTTTTGGTTTCCCTTTAAACCAGGGTGAACACGGTACCCTCGAAAAAGTCACATCGATACTGTAGACAAAGTCATGCACCATTTAAGAAACCCTGTAATGACGATCCCCCCCCCTGCAAAAACCAAGAAACTATGGTTTCAACCACGTTTTCAAAGTGGTGCAGGACCACCTGGCTGTGGGTCAAAACCAATGGTACCATTTTGGGGTAGGTGAATTCACCACCCATTTAGAACCTATGGAAGTGGTTGGAATGGGATGTTCACTGGGGGCTAACCGATTTGGATTTTGCCAACCACAGCCAGACACCACTGTCCTGAAATTCCTTCCCTCACTTCTGAGTGGAGTGGCAAAAAGGGAGTTTAAACGGTTTCTTTTTTCTTACCAGAATGCAAAAAAAACTGGACGTTTTTGCATTCTGGTAAAACCAAACTCTTTCCCAAAAGTGTCTCAAGTCCTCTTGCTTGCGTTGGGCATCCTCGGACCCAGCGCGAAAAACGGAGGAAGCGGATGCTCCGGAGTCCCAAGGACGCCAAGGACGCCCGACGCCGGACGCGGAATGCTTTCTGGGCCTTCGGCGGCTTCCAAAAGCGGGGTTGGGAAATCGGGGCCCAAGTCACTTTGGCCGAGGGTTCACCCCCCCATTAAAAGAATGGGTGACCGAATTTGGATGATGCAACTCCTTGGGTAAATAACGGTGGTTATATTAACCCCCTTTGATTCAGCGGTGGATTGAAACCCAGGGTTTGGCTGTTTCCCTACTGATTTCTTCGTTGGTACTAGGAAACTTGGGTTGCGCAAGGTTGTTTTTCCCACTGATGTCTTTGTTGGTTCTAGTCATGCACCGGTGTTTTTTCAAGGACATCTGGGTCAGGAGTCCCAAGCTTTGTGATTTGAATTGGTTGATTGACTAGGTCCCCCAGTAGTGCCCTGTTACCATTTTTTTTTGGGGAGGGTTCCCCTACTAAAATAGACTACAGAAAAAAGGATACCCTTGTTCTAACCTCTCTACTGGAGGACCTAGTTGAAGACTTCAACCGCTCATTAGTTGTCGTTGAAGCCAACTTTGAAACCACTCCCCACGCCGCAAATGAACAATCCCAACCAGCAACTCAGAGCAGGCTGAAGCAGGGAAGTGCACTTGTTCCCTTCCATGCGTAGTCCCATGGGCGAAAGACCTGCTTACGCGCTGGCAAAGGTGGTTGACCGCCCCCTGACGGGGAAATTCGACATGACAAAGGCTCCCACGGAAGCCATGGACAACCCTGACCCACATCAGCGTGCTACGGATACAGATGATGGCCCAGCTCTGCTTTTTGGCCAGCGCAACGTTTTCCTTTTGTGATGCTTGTAGTTTGGTTGTTTGTGATGTGTTGTGTTGTTGATTTCAGTTCAACCGTATGGTGCTCGTATCAGCTGCTACCTACCACAACCCCTTCCTGATCATGCAGTCCCTTTCAGTACCCAACGTGTTAGTTAATTGGTTGGCATTGATGAAGGAATACTCCAGAAACAAGCACCTTATCATGAGCCAATCATGTTGAACAGCAGCCAAGTGACTCCATAGCTCAGGTCGACGGATCTCACCGGCATCAGGACCTGCCCCCGCAGCTGCTCCGGCGCCGGCCGTGCCGCTGGCCAAGACAAAGCTGTCAGAAA